GGGTGAGGACAACAGAACATAAGGGTGTCTCAGAGAAGGCTGATTCACACAACTGTAGTGGGACAGCAGATTCAGTGTCTTCCCACCAAGAGCACACCAGTTTGCATGAAGGCTTCTGTAACAGGGCCTACATACTGAGAGTAGGAATGAAGCTCCAAGAGCCTTGGGTTTTCTGGCAGCATGGGTCTCCACACTAGTTCATTGTAAGGCTTCAGAGTTGACACTGGATTAACTAAGGAGTCACTGGAGGTCTAGAAATAGATGTAGCATATATTGGGAAATCCCTGTGTCTCCCAAAATATTGAGGAGCAAGAGGAAACAGAGAAGGCAAGATGCAAGATTCTTTTTGCAATTGGAAGAAAAATGGTGACTTTAAATTAGAATGGAGCAGATAGCAGTGTGTGAAGGGGACTCAGAATATTTCTGTACTGAATGGTCAGAGAGAGAAAGAATGCAATAGACACTCAGAGGGTATTTTTAACTAGCTGCTAGCTGAATGGCCTTGGCTGGGATAACTGAGACAACAAGAAAACAGGTTGGAGGTTGGGAATGTCTGTTCAGAAGGACACTATCAGACAACTGAGTGCATTACAAGACAGAAGATATATAAACCCAAAGATGATGGGTGGAATCTGAATTAGAAGTTTGAGAGTCATCTGAAGCAAGTGGGGTGAGATCGCCAAGGAAGTGAATCTGAATACAAAAGACAAAGAAGAGATCAAGACCATGGTGGTACAAGCTTGATCACATAAGTGTAGGTGAATAAGTGAGCTAGAGCAGATCCTGTAATCTGCCATGTCCAGGGAAAACAAGTAACAAGGAGAAAGGGACTAACAGGGCTACATGCTACTGCTAAGCAAGTATGATGGGTCCTAAGTGCTATCCACATAGTGAGTGTCAAGGTCACTCACAACTGAGGACAGTCTCAATGAAAGTGAACATGGAGGAGGATTATGATGGGTTCATTCAAATTTCCCACCCAATCTCCACTCCCCTCCCCAGGGAGGGTGAGGCCATGCATGGGGGAATCTTCAAAGGCTGTCATATCATCCAGTGCAGGCTGAGAGAGCATCCCTCCATGTGGAATGGGCTCCCAAAGTCCATTCATACCCCAGGGATAAATACTGATCTACTACCTGAGGCCCCACAGATTGCTGAGGCCTCCTCACTGACACCTAAATTTAGAGGATCTGGATCAGTCCCATGCTGGTCTCTCAGCCATCCGTCTGGGGTCCATGAGCTCCCCCCTGTTCAGGTCAGCTGTTTCTGTGGGTTTCACCAAGCCTTCTTTTCTCATCACTCCTCCCTCTCTGCAAATGGTTTCCAGAATTTCAGTTCAGTCCAGTGTTTATCTATGGGGGTCTGCTTCTGTTTCCATGAGCCATTGGATGAAAGCTCTAGGATGGCATATAAGATAGTTGTCAGTCTCATTATCTGGGGGGGTGGGTGGGAGGGAAGGGCTTTTAAGATAGCCTCTCTACTATTGCTTTGATTGCCAATTGGTATCATCCTTGTAGATCTCTGGAATTCTCACTAGTGCCAAATCTCTTTTCTCCTAAAACCTATAATGACTCTCTCTATTATAGTATCTCTCATTCTGCTCTCCTCTGTTCTTCACCCAACTCAACCTTCCTGTTCCCCCATATCCTCCTCTCCCCTCCTCGTCTCGCCCTGTCTTTCTCCCAGCTCCCTGTCCCCTCTCACCATGCTCCCAAACCTCTCAGGAGATCCTGTCCTATTCCTCTTCTCCTGGGTACCATGCATATCTCTCTTAGGGTCCTCCCTGTTTCCCAGACTCTCTGGTGATGGGATTTTAGTATGGCACTCCCCTGCTCCATGTCTAAAATCCATATATGAGTGAGTACATACCATGTTTGTCTTTTTGTGACTGAGTAACCTCACTCAGGATGGTTTCTTCTAGTGCTATCCATTTTCCTGCAGATTTCAAGATTCCTTTGTTTTTTTTTCCACTTAGTAGTAACTTCTAATCCTTGAGAGAGATTTGAAACCACTGAGATAGAACTCTTCAGACTCAGAACACCTATTTTGGGTGAGGGGAGATTTACTTTGGGTGTCAAATTTAGAATTCATGTATTAGAAACATTGTCCAAGTTACCCTACTGTGACACTGAAGTTGAAAACCTATACAAAAATGTGAGAGCTAAGAGAACAAGATTGTTCCAGGTAGATCTGGGACAGGGAGCAGAAATCAGGTGTCTTATCTTTAAGGTTATTAATATAATTATAAACTGTGTTGGCTAAAGTGACCCTAGCCCAGATACCTCTAGATTACTACAAAAATAATATAGGTATGAGGTGATACCTAGTTACCTGAAACTGAAAGCAAGAGAGATGAGAGAGACAGATTTGGAACAGCAGTGTAAAATAAAGGCACATACCTAAACAGAGGTTCAAGGGTTTGTTCCACTTTGGAAACCAAGTACCTGCCACTTAGGAAGACTAGAGGAAACACTGATGCCAACAGGCATGAAGTTTACATGCAGAACAGAAAATGTTGACATTCTAATAAGATGGCATTCTGGTGAATTTTGTTGCCTGGTAGTACAGCAGAAGAATGCTGAAGTGTTTACACAGGAAGATCTGATCTTAGAGCATAGGGTGTAACACGTCAGGGGTACAGGAATGCAGAAAGAAACTACCGGAGCTTTCCTCTTCTTTCTGTGTTTCTATTACTATAACCCCATTTCTAACAAGGCTGGTACATAGGCCAACACAGCAAACTGCTCTAAGCAGAGTTTCTGTGATCAAAACGGTCAGTAGGGGAGTAAGGGATTGCCCTTCCTCAAGGACCTGAGGCAATCACTTCAACATAGGGACTTCTCAGGTTCCAAATGTCCCACCAGTCATAGGAGACACTGGAAGGAAATATGGCTATGTATGAAAACAGAAAGATTATTCACCAAACAATCAGGCCAGACTCTCAAAATCTTTTGTCAACTTCTTTCTTCCATGTAATAAACTCTTCAAGTAAACTAGAGGTTTGTAATAACCCTTGGGAGCTCTTTATGTCAAGTCTGATTAGAATAGTAATCTGTTGTAAAACAGATTATCAATCTATGTTGAGAAACCAGAAGCAAGCCGTGGGCCTATGGGCTGAATGCACTCATTCCTTAAGGAAGTGCTTCAAGAAAAATAAGCAGGGGAAATATGAGCAAAAAGGAAAAAACATACAAAGAAACTGAAAATTCAAACAATCACAGGAGACAGTTTCCACATGATCCCATAGGGAAGCTCAGAGAACTGTACTGCAGAACTGATTCAGTTGGTACTTATGAATCGATGCACACATAGAACCATGACAGACAGGGAAGTTATAGGGGAAAATGGAAACTCATAGATACATCCAAGGAAAAGAGGGTCCCAATGTCTGAGGATATCATTCAAGGGAGAGCAAGGTATATACTTGAAGGAAGGCTCATCTAAGTACAGAATCAGCAATCCCATCTTCTGTGAGCAAAGATACTTTCTTCATGAAAGGACAGACAGATACTCAAAGCCAAAACTGGACCAAGAAATAATGGTCAACTGTCAGTATTATCAAGTAGATTTCTTATAATGTCTTGGGATCTTGTATATGCACACATATAAATATATTGCAGCTAGTCACTGGCACCATGTGTAGTCTGCCTCTGACAACAAAATTCATCTTTCAAACTAGAGTTTTAAATGGATTCCATTCTCTTTCTCCTTACCATAAGTGCAAATATCAAGAATGTTTAACTGCTTGCAAATTTACATGATTACAAATAGTGGTTTTCATCTATACCCCATGCACTTCTGTTTCTCAAGAGAATGGTTGGTTTTTGTTTTTCCCTCTTAATGCTGGCCTCTCCTCTGTGGATTATAGAAGTGTAACTGACAGTCCCTTGCCTTATAGAAGTTATCTAGGACAGTGATGTGTGGAGTTCACTGACAGATTTAGAGATTAATTTCTAGACTTCTTACAGTACCTAAGAAGCTCTTTGAGATTTTGAAAATGGCAACAATGTTGACTCCCTCTCACTAAAGATTATTGGTGTCCACATCCACTGTAATGCAAGAGGAAAGTTTAACTGTAATAAATATCAGTGTTGTTTTCCTTTATGGAAAAATGGGTTCACAGGGAAACAAATTTTGCCAGGGTAAAAAATACTTTACCGTCCAAAAGCACAGCTTGCATGAGAATGTCTCTTTTCTTTTATTCAGAAAGTAGAGCATCACTGTTCTTAAACCAATAGTATTTGCATAGCAACACAATGGTTTAATAGTATTGTATAGTCATGCCTTAAGTCAGATTCTTCAAAAGCAAATTAGAAGCCAAAGATTTGAATACTGGAAGTATTTATTCAGAAAGAGATTTGAGTGTGATTTATTAGTGATCTGGATTGTGTTGGGGGTTGGTAGGGAAATTTTCCCATCCCCTGAATATTTTGGCTTATATGCATGTCCAAATATGTGTTTGGCTAGATTTTATGGTGCATTTTCAGGGAAATTTAATCCATATGTTGCAGGGAGTCTACAGGTAAATCATCTGAATGTTACTTTATTAGCGCTCCATGATGTTTGAAATGCCTTTTGAGCTTTTTTTTTATAGTCTTATATTCTTTTCTGTAAAGCGGCAGGTAAGTTGCCAAGAGTAAACAAATCAAACAGCAAAAGGTTTGGGTTAGGTTTGAAATGCTTTGCCTGTTATTTTTGATTGGGTTCTGTACTTGGCAGTGTTTGTTCTCCATTCCTGCCTGCAGGGCAAAGTGAAAACAATCTGAGCTCTGTATTTCCCAACTGGTTCATTGGCATTTGAGAATAATGTAGTACAGACAGAATCAGCATGTTTGGCAGGTGAGTGATGCCTAATATGACCTCGGAAAGTTACTTTCCTCTGCCTGGCAACGGTTCATAGCATGAAACGATGTTGTACACACTACAAAACCCAGGTCAGATCAAGCAGCCGTGCAGGGGTCCAAAAGGGGGATTTATCAAATTTTCTTGTGTATCTTTAGGTCGAGTGGCTAAAGAATGAAGACATAATTGATCCTGCTGAAGATCGGAATTTTTATATCACTATTGATCACAACCTGATCATCAAGCAGGCACGGCTCTCAGATACAGCGAATTATACTTGTGTTGCCAAAAACATAGTTGCCAAGAGGAAAAGCACCACAGCCACTGTCATCGTATATGGTAAGTGAGTTCCCAGGGTCTCCATTCAGCACGTGTCAAGCCATTCTTTCTCATTAATAGCCTTATTTTGTTTTAGAATGTCCAACTACCAATCTCTTTTAGACTCCCACTACTGTTCCTTCCAACATCAGCATGGCCAGTAAGGTTTACTAGGAGTGGTAAAGCACTTCATCTGGCAAGTCTTGGTAAGATACCCAAGAGTCTGCTGCTTTTCAGATGTCTCATTTCTCAAGCAGAATGAGTACCAACAAGACCTGACTGAGTTTGGGACATGACAAAGTTCAAGACAGACAAATGATATCTCCTGTGAATCTAGGCTCAGATCCACAATTACAGAAACACAGGAAAGATGAGAAAACCATTCTCCACAAACTTGCATTCTTGCCTACACCCAAAGATAATAGAACCACAATAAAGACAACTGTGATCAAGGGACTCTCATTCCCACAACATGGAAGACTTTCCACTCTTTGGAGCCCCTCATGATGCTCATCTCCTAACCAATGATTCTCAAGTGTCAAACAATTCTACACCCCATTTTTTACATCATCAATGCTATTACCTCCCTATTCAGCTGGTACCCAATTATCCCCAGCTATCTCAGGTGAGTCATTACCCAGCTAAGCTTTCAGATGTTTCATACACTAAGAAATTACACTGTATATTAATATAATTTTCAAAACATTAGGTCTCTGTTATATTGACATATTATCACAGAGAAGACAAAGCACCAAGTATCTGAGGCAAGGTTTCCACTTAAACAAGAAAGTCAAGCTTTGCCTCTGCTCAGAAAATAGTGATAAGGAAGACAAGATAACATAAGGTGTCAAAGAACATTCGATTCCAGCTTTTTGACCATTTTCGGAGGCACAAGAGAATTCCCCAGGAAAATTACCTCCCTTATACTAAAAGGAAAATTCTTATCATTGAGGACGGACAGTTGGAGGGAGAGTCCTGTACAGATCTTACTCAATTAACTCTTAATAACCTTTTCAAAACTTGCCGCTCTTGAGTCCACACCCATACGTTCGGGGTTAGTTCTCATGGCATGTGTAGCTTTTCACTTCTTTGTGGTGTGCCCATGATACATAAGCATGTTGAATCCCTTCGTGTGTTTTTTACTTGTTCATCCATATTACATCAGTTAAGCTCATATCAAACTAAAAAGACACCAAGAGACAGAGACAGAGAGACAGACGAGAGAGAGAGAGAGAGAGAGAGAGAGAGAGAGAGAGAGAGAGAGACTGTGTATGTGTGTGTAAACACAAATATGTTGGTAGAAAGAGAGACAGAGAAAGATTAATTTGTTCCCTCTCTGACGGTACCATTGTATGCTTGTGTCACCAACAACATGAAGAGACACAAGAACAGAATCATCATGATGTTCCAGAGGCTGCACAGAGATACTTAAAAACTGCCACTTTAATTACAGAACAGAAGCATTCCAATTTTTTTAATCCTCTGATTACTCTGGGGTTTAATTTCCTAGTCCAGATAATGACTATGTTGAATTATAAGCAATTGTATTCCTTAAATCACACGAAATTGTTTTGTACTTTTTATCTTAGTCTAAACTGCCTGAAACACTTGATTAACAACATTTAAAATGCAAAGAAGCAATGGGACCCAATCATAGCCTGTGCAAATCTCAAATAACAAATGAAAGCACACTATAAATAGACTCATTCTATAGGTATTTAATATAGATGCAAATCTCTAGGTATAGCATGATTTCCATACCTGCAAATGTAATGATAACATTATTATTATGAAAGATCATACACAATTAACATAAGCATTTTTAGACAAGGGTCAGTACCAATGATGAAGCAGCTAGGCCTTGATCAGCAACTATCTAGCTTTTTAAATTGTATTTTTGGTCCTTTTCTCTTTCTCTGCAAAATGAGGACTATGTCTAGTATCTGCAAAAACAAACACACAAAACAAAAATCTAAATGCTTCCAGTTTTTAAGGATGCATGAGAATGTCAACAGACTGGTAATTAGACATGTAACTCAGAATCTCAACTTCCTGTGTTTGTGGAGAAAGAGGAACACTCCTCCACTGTTGGTGGGAGTGTAAACTTGTACAGCCACTTTGGAAATCAGTATAGTGGTTCCTCAGGAAAATGGGAATCAGTCTACCACAAGATTCAGCAGTCCCACTCGTAGGCATATATCCAAAAGATACACATTCATACAACATGGACATCTGTTCAGCTATGTTCATAGCAGCATTATTTGTAATAGCCAGAACCTGGAAGCAACCTAGATGGCCCTTAAGTGAAGAATGGATAGAGAAAATGTAGTACATTTACACAACTGAGTACTATTCAGAGGAAAAAAACAATGGAATCTTGAAATTCGCAGGCAAATGGATGGAACTAGAAGAAAACTTATATATTGATTTGGGAGCTCTAGCTGAAACTCTGTCAACTGTCTGTTCATGCTTTTCATGGCTCCATAAGTTGAGTTACCCAAGACTCCATAAGTTGGGCTCCTCAGTCCACAGAAACATATATAATCATCATTTCTTATGCTAAATCTGTTTTATATCTTCTTCTTCATTACTGTCACTTTTGGTTTATAAAAGTGTATCCTTTAGAGAAAATTTGGAAAAAAAACAGAAAAGGTCAAAGGAGTTGTTTTTGTTTGTTTTGGTTTTTTTTGTTTTTGTTTTTGTTTTTTTTTATTTTATGTTTTTCGAGACGGAGGTTCTCTGTGGCTTTGGAGCCTGTCGTGGAACTCGATCTCTAGACCAGGCTGGCCTCAAACTCACAGAGATCTGCCTGCCTCTGCTTCCTGAGTGCTGGGACAAAGAATTTGTTTTTGATACTGTCATCTACAGATAGTGTTTTTGAAACTAATATGATATCACAAGTATTTTTGTATGCACAGGTACTATGTTAAGATAAGAACTACCCAGATGTTATTTTTACTTAATGTAAAATGTTAAATATCCTTGTTTTATTAGATAACCTCATTATTTTAATGGAATGAAAACATGTAACTTAACATTTTCCTATGTTTAACAATATAGGTGCTTCTAGTTATTTCTTATTATATTACAAACATGAAGATACCTTTGTTCATGTCTGTACATAGAGTCATGTTTATTACGTGATTATTAGATTTTCTAATAAATTATAATTTAGGGCAAATCATTTGCATGTATAAATAAAATCTGTGTTGCTTCAGTAGCTAAGCTCTTTATATCAGAAGGCAAATGCATAAACTTGTTCCAAACTGTTTTAGCTACTAGTAAATAATTCACGTTTAAAAAATAAACACAAATTATTGAACTACATTTTTAAGAACATCATAATATTTTCTGGAAGCAGATGTCCAGAAATGAATAGTGTGAGAAGTGTAGAATTCTTGGTCTATAATCACATATCTATGATCCCTCCATCATATATCATGTCTAGTCTTTTTGCACAAGATGAGTTTTCCTTTTAAATGCACCAATCAATTACCAGATCAATCAGATTGCCAATTTAAATAAAACTAGGATAATGTAAGATTTAGTTCTGTAATTGGGTTCACATGTGGGTTTGTAAATACTATATAAAATTCCTTGAAAACTGTGAAGTTTGAAAATGCTGAAGAAAAATATTTAATCATTTATTTTTTAAGAAATCTGGGTGATTTTATGTAGTTGCGATGCCTCGACTCATAGCCTTGGTATCCGGATCTAAACATTTATTACGCAAGATAAGCTGTCAAATATAATTTTTTGGAGTTTAACTAGGTAAGGGGATTTTTTCCTTAAGAATGTTAGCCAAGGAAAAGAGAACACAGTCTTATTTGTTTTTATAAGTGTGACTCTTGGAAAACAATTTTATATATCTCGACTTAGATTCTTCAGTTATACAACAAAACTCTGAAATGATATCTGTGGCCTCCTCTAGCATTGAAATCTTATTATTTTTATTATTACATGAAAAGTATTCCAGTCTGAATACTGTATGTGGTTTGTGTATTGTACATTCCCATGTGTTTAACCTACCCTTTGCGGTTTGTCTCATTCAGTTAATGGTGGCTGGTCCACTTGGACAGAGTGGTCTGTGTGTAACAGCCGCTGTGGACGAGGATATCAGAAACGTACAAGAACCTGCACCAACCCAGCCCCACTCAATGGTGGGGCCTTCTGTGAGGGACAGAGTGTGCAGAAATTAGCATGCACTACGTTGTGCCCAGGTAAATATGCAATTGTCTCCTTCCAAATATGGTCTACCATTCTGAAAATGTTTACTAAAACTAAATAGAAAGACCTAATGTTTACTTAAGCATGTGATAAACATTACTTAAAGCCATTCTACATTCAGTATTTACCTTGTTAAGAAGTCGAACCTTCCTCCAAAAGTCCTTAATTTTATCACATAAATATACAAAGTGCTGTAAGAGAACAAGCAAAAATATCATCCTGTGTTTCTTAGTGAAACTGCTAAAGGCAAGATTGCACATCCTATAATTCACATGATTTGAACAACATTGAAAATCACATAACATTAGAAATAACAACCCTTGATCTTCAGAAAACCATGAAAATTAATAGGAACTGAAATTTATAAAATGTTTTATACTGGAATAGTTGATATGTAGTGTCAGTTTCTGGGCAAGGGCAAATAAAACATTTGGAATGAATTAAAAGAAAGGCTAAGCTTTGTGACACATGAGATAATGGATTTGAAAAATACAACATAGCCAGCTCTTTATTGTCTGCACATCTTGGTCATCTGTCTTATGAATTATTTGCAGTGGTTCCTATACCAAAATTGTAGCCCTCTGCCACTTGCCATCATCTGATAGTATTTCATATTTCTACCAGGTATTGACTCCAGGTAAATTTTAGTTAATACCCAAATCCAAATGAAATCCTAAACATATTAAAATTCCTAGTCATAATAATATATCCAGAAGTTAAGATAAGATTGAAATAATCCATTAATTCAGTGTACTTGGTGGTTAGGAATTATGCTATACATTTCAGTGTCTTAATGCACAACCTTAGCTCTCTTTGCTTTGCCCAATTTTTTACTGCTCATCTTTAATAGAATATTTTTGAGAAGTGGGCAGAGAGAAAAATATAATCTACGGGTTACATTTTCAAGTATTGACCTCAAGTATCAAAATGGGTTTCTGTGCTGAACCGTTGAGGACTCTTATCTATCGAACATATTTTGACTTAACAGTAAGTGCAGAAGTTCAGATTTTATCATACACTGTCCCTTTCTTCACCTAGGCTCTGACTCATAATTCAGAATCCAATGACCAATTTGAGTTGAAAGAGCATTGTGACTACACACACACACACACACACACACACACACACACCATGTCCACAAACACACACATAGGTGCTAGTGCTTTAAGAAAAAGGCACATATTGTTGAGCTACAGCAAAGCAAATGTCATTGCTCTGGGTATTGGGAATTGAAGTAAAGACAACTCTATACAATGGAAATAGTAATGTGTTCCTTAGTTTTGCACATAAGCATGTTTATGTCTTAGTACACACTGTGGGAAGTATATTTACTTGGTAATAGGACAGATTTGCCCAACACTGTAAGCTAATAAAATTTATATTGCTTTTTCAATGTTCAGATTTGGGAAGTTTAAAGGTTCAATAAATGTTTGGCATTGTTTTATGTGGGATTCTAGATAATCATAAACATTTAGTTATTTCAGGGGAAAATCAAATACTTTTTAAACTTAGTTTAACATTTTAATCCTACATCTTTAGTGTACTTAAAAGGATTTGTTCTGAAGTTTGACAGTTTATTCTATTTTCAAATTGACATCAAGTTGTATATTCTGAAGACAGAGATATCTCAGCCCATGATCACAGAACTTTCTTACAAGTAAGCCACCAAAATTAGAATGAAATTGGGTCAATTTTGAATTATTATGTCACTGCCAAAACTAGGGATTTACTTAAATACTATTTCAGCATGGATAGAAATGTGTACACCATCAAATAGTGGAGTGAAATTATAAAATAAGCTACAAATAATACTGTGTTTACAGGAAGGCAAGGCAAAGGTTTCAGCCAAATCAAATGGCCTGGATGGCAAAAAGAAAATATAGAGAGAAGTCAAGAGACAGGGGGTGGGAAGAAGAGAATGGATGAGTTCCTTCCCCACTACACCTCCTATGTTTTCAACTCTGATACATTTTTGCTGTCACTGTTTACATGCACTTCTGTAGGGAGAGATCTTAGGTGTGGTCACAGGTACATAGTAGGGATGGGAGATAAAGAACTGAGGGAAAGGAGATATGCTATCTCTTAGGGTTCTGGTCAGGTCTAGGAGAGCAGCCAACGCTGACCTTAGTTTCTTGGCTTCTCACGTGTAAGTAACTCCTCCCTAATAAAATATCATATGACATCCCTACCTTGTGTGACCAAATCTTCCTCAAGACACTTCAAATGAAGCAATCTTAGATCAAAAAGGAGACCCTCTGATCATCAATATCCAGTATCCTCACCTTTAATGAATAAAGAGAAAGTGTGATGACTTGCTTATTACATAGACTCACTAAACCTTCCTTGACAAAACACACAAGCCTCCCACAGGCAGAGCATGACTCATTCAGCAGAGGCCTAAGTGAATGCCAGACTTCTCACTGGGGTGTCTTCTTCCATTCTTATTGTTATGCTGGAATTTAGCTGTGCTTCTTTCACCCTTTAAGGAAATGCTTGTTCTGACCTCATGCTGGCTTTTCTCATGGTAGTGGATGGCAGGTGGACATCATGGAGCAGATGGTCAACCTGTGGGACTGAATGCACCCATTGGCGCAGGAGGGAATGCACAGCACCAGCACCCAAGAATGGGGGCAAAGACTGTGACGGCCTGGTCCTGCAGTCCAAGAACTGCACTGACGGGCTGTGCATGCAGGGTAAGTCAACCTGAAGAAGTGCAGGCACTGAAGGGCCCGCCCCCAAGCCATTTGACTATGCTGGAGGAATATTAGTAATTGGGGATACTGAAAAACAATAAAAATGTAATGATAAAGGTCTATCCGAGCTTTCATTCATAATTGGGAAAAGCTAATCTCTCAGGCACCAGAATGAATAATAATTGTCTGGTTAACAAATGTTATGCATATTATTGCTTTCACTCAAGAAGGGAAAAAAAACCTATTTAGCCATTTCCTTGGAGAGGCTGTCATTCTTTCTAGTCAGAGAACTGTTAATTCAGTTGTATTACCTTATGCATGAGGGGACCTTAAACTCCCCATAGAACCAAAGCATGGCTTCCCACAAGTGAGCTGTTTATTTGTAATTCATGCTTGGTACTGCACCAACATCCTTCAAATATAAAATATCAATAAATATTTCAGTAGGTAGTTTTATGACTATATAATAAATCTTTAGTAAGAACAACTTCCCAACCTCTTGAAAGTGTGAGGTTTATGTTAGAAATTGCATCATGGCTATAATTTAGCTTACTCTAAGAGAAAAACAATTTTTAATGAGCATGGAAGTTGGATCAGGTGATATGGGAGATGTGATAAGCTATATTCTATTTTTCATGCCTTATATAAAGAATTGTGTCAGTGAAATGATAGCCAGTGTCTCACACCTGCAAACTCCTAACTATTTGTTGAAGAGCTCTTAGATGTTCAGAATTTATCATCTCTTTTCCTGACAATAAAATAAAGTGCATAGATTTTTTTCAGGTAAATGGATTAAACAATGTGCCATGGTGAATCTGAACTAATGAGTGCCAAATGTTGACATTCCTCATGCATGTTGCATATATAATGAGATGTATTCACAGAGGAGTGATTGTGTTTATTATTTAAGACCAAGTACATGGTTTTTACCACACAATCCAAACTTTGTTTACTTTTCAGATTCTATATACACAGAGACCTTTCAAAAGGAGTCTTACTTAAAGTACAAATACATAATAATGTTGCTCATGTTGAATGAAAATCCAGGTGTCTCTCAATTGTGTTTCACAAACATTGACATATTCCTAATCTTCTGATGATTTGTGATAGCTACCATGTACGACACTGTTCTTGCTAGAATCATGAAAATAAAGAGAAGACAGCTGTTTATTAATTGCCTATCTAGAGATGTAGGCTTCATCCCCAGGCCAAGGCATAAATTTTAATTAAGGATCAAAAATAAGAGCATGAATATGCCACCTTTTTATTATTTCATATTATTCCTTAGTATGAAATCAGCTATTTGATGTAATTGAGAAGTACAAATATTTCAATCAGGGATTTTTTCCTTTAATACTTTCATCCTTTCTCCATATAATAACTCAACATTGATAGATACAATACCTTCTGCTTCTACACTATATATTTAAAATCCTTGGCAAGATAGTTTACAAAGAATATACTACCACATGCTGGGACATTGGACGTTTCTTCTACAAAATACTTTCTAAGCTAAGATATTTGTCGAACGCTAGGCATTCAAACTAAGACCATATATATGGCATTTCTCACAGCCATAATGGAATTTTTTTCCTTATGATTGAATATTTATCTGCAATAATGGTTGGCAGTAGGCTTATAACTACGAAGGAAGTTTGGGACATAGGCAGTATTTTGGATTTGTTAATTTATGTGTTTTCTTCTTCCTTTTTTTTAAATCAAGTCTCTTATTAAAAACATTTTGGAGTTTGGATTAAAGTTGTTCAGATAAAAAGCCATCTTTTCCTGCTGCTGTGATTTCTTATGCCAGCAGTTCCTACTAAGTCAATAAACTCTCTCATCTATCCCCCTAGATCTACTCTAGCCCAGCAGAGAATTGTAGTCTACACTACTATCGATTTCCTAGGTGATAAAACAACAGCAGAGAGATTGCTTTGCTGTATAATTACAGTGTTTTACTGTGAGACCTTCTAGCCTCTGTTTCCTACTAAGCTTGGGATTTCTGGAGAAGAATTGCTGCCAAAGTTTTACAAAAATATAATATTTCCTTTGGTTAGAAAACAAAAGCTGTTTTAACAAGAAAACTACAAAGTTTGGAAGAGATACAATGTCCATGTAATGAGAAAGGAGTGGACTAGAACAGAAAGTCACAGAGTTGCAATTGCCAATGCTTTGGGTTAATTCTTATTTTGAATTTGTTATTTAGCAAATCAATAATATTAATTAAAACAAAAGCTGGCTTATGCAATATCAGACCTACTATGAAATAAAATAATTCTACTCAAAATTACATATAACTAATTCTGTTATGAATATTGGTATACTGCTGGGTAAAAGAAGCTCCAAGTTACTGATAGATCTCAGTAGAAATCAAGAGTATATTTTTTTCAAAGAGCTAAATTGGCATTTAAGATCTATGAAAGGGGAAATTAATAGAAAATTCTGTTGTCAACATTTAGTCATCATTTTCCCCAAAAGAACCGAATTATGACATATTTATTCTTTAATACCTAAAAAGATAAGAACCTTTGAGACACATTAGATAAAATGTTACAGACTTGAATACCATTAATCACACACACACACACAGAGAGAGAGAGAGAGAGAGAGAGAGAGAGAGAGAGAGAGAGAGAGAGAGAGAGAGAGAGAGAGAGAGGACAGAAAGAAGAAAAAAATCTACCAGCCCAGGAAGGTAGTTGAAAGACAAAGGGAAAGGGAACTGTGTGGGAGACACCAGAGTGGCCAAGTGCCAAAATGGACATGGTTTGGGTCTTAGAGTATGTGGGAGTCAGGATTTATATTAGGGTCAGAGGCTTAGTGAAAGAATTGGGCTGAGATTTGGAATAAGAAGTAAAGCTGTAATTCATTCATTGCTGCTCACCACGAAAAACAAGTAAAACTTTTTTGCCAACAATTCTAAAGAAACCACAAGAAAATCATAGTAGGGAAAAGGAAAATGAAGTATTCATTTAAGTAAAATCTGTAGTAAAACCACAATGCTATACCCAGCTGTGGTATGGAGCTTAAGATGTGCTACAGAAAGCAAAAAAAAAAAAAAAAAAAACCAGAGAGATATGTAATTAGCATCCTTGGAACAGCATTTGAGGCAACATAGCAAAAACGTAAGCCACTGACAAGTCCCATCTGCAATCTAAGTCCATTGGCGTATGAGAAAATAAGCCCATTCCTGAAAATTGCATGAAATCATACTTTAAAATCTCCCAAGAGAATAATCTAGTATAGGGAAAACCTAAAACAAAGCAAAGGAGTTAACATGGAATCACAGGGACTCAGGGCAACAGCAAGTAAAGCAAAGTATATTGTTACAAGTTTGGGTACATTGGGGGAATCAAATAGAATGTTGAAAAATTTAAACATGATTATTTATTAAGATAGATAGATAGAGATACAGATAAAGGTGAAGAAAAATTCAGGAAACTGGGATTTATGTTATATGAACAAATGTGGTGCAATTGAAAATTAACATGAGGAAATCTGACTTTTTTGTTTGTTTGTTTGTTTTGAGACGGGGTGTCTCTGTATTGTTTTGGAGACTATTCTGGAACTCTCTCTGTAGACCATGCTGGCCTCAAACTCACAGAGATCTGCTTGCCTCTGCCTCCCGAGTTCAGGGATTAAAGGCAGAAATCTGACATTTTTTAATCAAGAAAACAAAACTGTAGATTGTAAGATAAAAGTTTCATTTGCTTCTCATAAAACTCACTGAGTGAACAACAAAATAGAACTAATTTTTAAAAATTGGTACTATCAAATAAAGACTAATTAGAGGTTAGCTGAAATTGAGGAGAAACTAAATGATATTAATGTAGAATCTATGAAGTTATAAACTGGTTCAGTATTTTAAATTCCATGTATTATAGTGGAAGAAAATAGTAATTTTTTTCACATTATATTTTATTGACTTAAATGATCCAGATATAATGGTAAGACTGTTACTGTCTACAAATATATGAATTGAATATATTATAAAGCCAAGGTAGAAATTTTAAGGGTAGGAAAGGAAGAAAATAAAGAACAGTAAGCAAGATGGCAGAAAGAAATATACACATTTCAAGAACTACAATGTAAGTGAACTAAACTCACTTTGTCAAAGGAAATTTAAAACCTATAGAAAGAAATCTGGCTTCATGCTTTTGATGAGTTCAAGAGTTAAACCACACTGAGAAAAATTAAAAATGAAGACAGGGAACTTACAATATCTATTTTTAATAGCTGATTAAAATCTTGGATTATCAGTTGTGACCATTATTTAGTTTCATTTCTCATTATGACTAAGTACATATTAGTTACTATTTCATTCATAGATCTAATTCATAGAATTAATTTGCTTAGACTCTGCAGTTTTAAAATGTTTAATTTCCATTTGAAGCAACTTTCAATTGCTTACCAAGTTACCAATGGTTTCATAAGACGTCTTAATGAAGAGAAAATGTCCCAAATATTAACATTGAAACCAGAGGAAGACATTCAGTGTTGACTTCTGACCTCTACAAATGCTGTCACAAAGAGCACATATGAACACACATGTGTAGCACACATACACACCCAGAGTTTTGAGGAACAGTCATAAAAGTATCTAACATTTTGAATAGGTAATTATGCTAAATGTTGATGCATTTGTAGTAGAAACTTGTGTTTTACTTGTGGATATTAAGATCTTCATAATTATTTCCGGAAAAGATTTTTAAAAATTAAAACCATTGAGTCAAATTATTGCAACTAGTGAGATCATTCACCGTGGCAAAGTACCAGGCAGCCACAAAACAAAGAAAAGTAACTCTCACTTTCCCAGCAGCTATGAACTCCCAAGAGCTCTTAAACTAGGTGTTGGGCCTCTGGAACCCCTTCTCCATGCTGGAAGTGTGAGCTGGTTTGATTGTGCGCGGGTCTTACTCAGGTAACACCACAGCTGCTGTGAGCTCGCGTGCACAGCATCCATGCCATGTCTACAGGACAACGCTCCTCCGCTTCTTCTGGCT